TGCTTCCAGGGCAAGTTAATCTAGGACCCACTTATTTTTCTTTCTGTTGACTTAGCGTATTCATAAAACTCTTCTCCAGCACCATGTTTCAAACCACTCGTTTCCTGACAGCTTTCTTCACTGTTCATCTTTTGTAAATGTAATAGTGTAAACCATCTTGGCTTTGTTCTTCAGTGAAACATCCTTGCACTTAATGATCTTTTCTAGTTCCTTCATTGTTGCCCTTCTAAGTGTCCATCATCTCAAAAGCCGTGTCCATTTGAGTTGATGATTGAGTCAAGGCATGCAAACCCTTTCACAATAACAGTTTCTTCACTGTTGACCTTAAAGTTGTGCAATGCTTCTGTACTTGTGATAAGAATTTTTATTTTCTTAATGGTTAACTGCAGTCCTGCTTTGACACACTCTTCTTTTGATTCATTGTTGTTGTTTTGATTCATTGTGCTTTCTTCCAGTATTATGGTATCATCACCGTCACTGTCATTGTCAAAGGTTTTCTACCAATGTTACATTCAAATACCACTGCTGCTCAGTAACTGCCCTTTAGGAGTTTCTTTGCCCCATCACCGTTAGAGATATCCGTTCTCCTCTGCCGATGGTGACCATTCCTCTTCAAGAGAGTTTAGTCTTAGTCTGAAGTCTCCATTCTGTTTTGGGTGACCCTGATAGGAGACCAGCCTGGTGAATGAGTCTGGTCTCCTGGTGTCATTTTCTTGGTTCATTCTGAAATCCCTCATCACATTAACATATGGCCAAGTGGAGGAGGTTACTTTTTGTTTGCATAATCTTGAGCCTTACATACGAAAAGCCATAATGTAATGCTATAGTTCTGACAAGTCTGAATGTGAAGAGATATTTTCTTTCAAGGAAGTTACTTTATAGCAAAACTAGGGAGTTGCGTTTTAATTGCCTCATGTCTCAGAATGTACCTCGTCTATGCAACTACATGTAAGATTGACAAATTCAATATTATGGTATATGATATATTGTAAATGATGTGGATGTTGTCATGCAGTAGTAATTTTTATTCATCTGCTTCAGTTGTGCTATTCTGAATAACATATCGCTGTTCTTAGACTTAGGACCAATAAGTCTCAACTGGTTTGAAGAACTCACTTCAGAAGCTCCACCCTATGACTTTAAAAGACCAGAAGACCGTGAATATAAAGCTCAATGTTTGAATCAAGCTATAGTTAAAACACCAAAGGGGAAGCAGCCTACAAACAGCCCATCTGCATCAACTCCGATCATTTTTAAAGAACAGAATAAAAGCATACCACTATTTGCTTCTCCCATACAAGAACTGGATCAGACCAAGACCGAAACAGGTGAAAAGCTTTGCACATGTGATGTAGAAGTTTCAAGAACTGTAAAGAGTTGTATTGCAATAATATAATCAGAAATATTTATTATATAAAAGGAAGTATTACTAGGAGTGGAACATGTAACAAAATGTTGCAGTGCAGAATTTTCCTCTTCAGGGTTCCAACCAGCAATGCTGTCTTCCAGGATAAAACATTCCATTTCCTGTCTTAGCTGTACCAAACTGCAAACACGCACTCAGACACAAAGAACAGTTAGTTGTGCTCAAGAAGGAGATATCAGTAGACCTAGGGAAATCTGAGGTTTACTGAAGTGCAAACATAAATATAGATATTGTAAATAAAGGAGAAGACTCCTGTGAGTCCCTTGGACTGCAAGGAAATCAAACCAGTCAGTCTTAGAGGAGATCAACCCTGACTGCTCTTTAGAAGGCCAGATACTGAAGATGAAACTCAAATACTTTGGTCACCTAATGAGAAGGAAGGACTTCCTGGAGAAGAGTCTAATGCTGGGAACAATTGATGGCAATAGAAGAAGGGGACAGCAGTGGATGAGGTGGATAGATGGAATCACTGAAGCAGTCAGTGTAAGCTTAAGTGGACTCTGGGGGTGGTGGAGGACAGGAAGGCCTGGAGGAGTGTTGTCCGTGGGGTTCTGATGGGTTGGACGCGACGTTACAACTAGCAGCAAAGGGGGAAATCACCCCCATCAACCTAGTGAGATCTGAGCATGCATAGTGGCTGTGATGGAAAGTTTGGGGGATGGAAAATGCAGGAGTGGCAATGGAGTGGAGTGGATGGTATTCTGAAGAGGATACAATCTAAATGACAACATTTTGCTACAAGTTCTACCTGTTAACATAATAACTCTGTTCAGTCAGATCAAGTGTATCTAGTCCAGCATTTTATTCATCCAGTGGTCAACCAGTTGTCAGTGGGAAACCTTATAAACAAGACATGAGTGCAACAGTGCCATGAAGACCATGTTTCCCAGCAACTAGTTTACATAGGCATACTGCCTCTGATATTAAAGCTAGTGTATAGCCATCAGATGAATAGCCATTGATAAACTTACTATCCATGAAATTTGTCCAGTCCCCTTTGAAAGCCATCCAAATTGGTGGCCATTACATCTTGTGGAAGTGAATTTCCAGTTTAACAATGCCTTTTATGGAAAGGTACTTCTTTTTATCTGTCCTGAAGCTTTTACCAGTCAGCTTCACAGGATAACTTGAGGTTTTGGTATTCTGGAGAAAAATGTCTCTGTACCCACCTTCTCTCTCTCATGATTAATTTTCGACACAACTATCATGTTTCCCCTTACTTGCCTCTTTTCTGAGCTAAACAGGCCTGGATGTTGCGAGATTTCCCTGTAGGGCATTTGTCCCAGCATTTCTGCCCTTTTTTCCCCCAACTCTACAATATTCTAAGTTTAGGTGCAGGGAGCAGTATTATATACGGTATTCCAAATGTGGTCTTGCCATACATTTCTGTTTGGACAGTATGGTAATACAAATGCTTGTAATAAATACATACATATTGGCACTTTTAATTTTCAAGTCCTTTTCTAATTATATTGAACACAAAATTAGCCATCTTCACAGTAGCCACACAGTTTGTTAACATTTTCATTCACCGGAACTCAAGATTTCTTTCTTGGTCAGTCATTACTAGCTTAGATTCCATCAGCATATGTATGAAATTGGGTTGCGGTTTTAATGGCAGGTTTAAAAAAAGCAAATTACTTAGCCCTAGAGACTGTCCATGAAGTAAGACATAAAAGATTTCAATTCAGCTGCTTTTGGGATTGCAAAACACTTTTTACATATTTTCCTATTACAGACGAAACTTTTAGCGAAGTCCCAAGGATAATGATTCCAGTGGATCAATCAAATGAAACAGCAAGTCCTTCCTGTCTTCTTGCATGGTACACTATAACTGCATATTTAAATATTCTCTCAGTATAACCTTAAGTCTGTGTTGGCTACAACAGTGTAATGAAGTAATTCCACCTTTAGAGCTAGGCTGCAACCTTTACCTTGCTAGCATGCAAACCTGGAATATAGAACTGGAATGTTGCTTCTGGCTGTAAGATGCCTTCAGCCTCACAATACTTGTGAGAATTGTTGCATATTTGATTTCACATTCTGCAGCAGCTGTGGCTTTGCATGCAAGTTGTTGTGCTGATGTTTCCTGAAGGGATTGCTTTTTGCGGGGGGTTAAAATTATTTTTCTAATTTTGCAACTTTCACAGCAGTGGAGAAATACATTATTTTCTGCCTTTCCCAGAACCTTAACCATTTTTCAATGACCAGCATGACCACGTGCATGTTTTGATCTTAGGATACATGTGGGGGTGGAGTGGGGGTTGACATAGAGATGGTTTCAAAAAGCACTTGGCCTTCTACCCTTCTCAGCTAAATAGGCTAAGTTGGTACTGAGAGGCCTGTACTGTTGTCAAAAATAGTATGATGGTACTATTGACCTTGAGTCTCTTCTATGCAGTGCAGCAAGGAAAAAAGCATCATACACAGTTGCAACCACTCTCCCTTTAAGTAATCTGTAGTAAAAGTCAGTAGTTGCTACTTCAGAACTGGAAAATGTCTGACACCATGAATGTCATAGTGGTGATGGTATCTTTTTTTAAGCAACCTCTTTAAAGAAATAGTCTACTTTATTCTTCTCTATTGTTACACCATTTTACAATTTTAAATTTAGTAGGTATGGTTTCTGATGGTATTGATGTTTGAGACCCGCAAGTGGGCACCCAGAGGCGGTGGCAGCAGGCAGCAAGTGGCAAGCAGGGGCCTGTGAGCAGCAGTGGCAAGCAGGCACCTCCAGGGGGTGGCAAGCGGGCACCCACAGGTGCCTGCAGCAGTGAGTGGCCAGCCACAAAATAGTCAAAGAGCCTTGTATGGCTCCTGAGCCTCAGTTTGGCCACCCTTGGCATATAGAATGGTACTAAAGGCATATAGCTGCTATTAGTTTCTCCAGAGCAGCTTTCTCCAGAATGGTGCCTTCCAGAAGCTTTGGATAATAAGTCTCGCCATTCTCCACCAGAATGGCCATGTTGGGTGGAGATGGTGGAGATTGTAGTCCAACACATCTGGACAGTACCATGTTGAAGGCTGCTCTTAATTGCAACATTTCTACCATGCTCTTCTTTTAGAGAATTCAAAGCAGCTTACACAGGATGCCTTGTTATTTCACAACTAAGATCCATATACTTAATCAATTCTGTACCATCATCTGCTTGTTTTTAAGAAATTATTGTTGGTTTCCAGTGGTCTAGATATCTGAAAATCTTTTCTAATAACCTGTGAATATTTTATTGTGTCTGCATGGCATTTGTTAAGTAGAATTTTCATTTAAGATTTTCAATAACTATTCTTATGTATTTTTATATTTCAGTTCAGCTGTTTTAAAGGAAACAAGTGGAACGATACAGAATAATAAATGTGGTATATATTCTTGTCTATCTTTTCTTACTGTGTTGAAGATAGCTTTGTTCATTGCTTTGAAAAAACTGGTTTCTAAGTTTCTTAAAGGGCTGAAAGGTAATTCATTATCTCATTTGATATTTTCCAGTGCTAAGTGGAAGTTTGCTTCGTACACCCAAGCTTTTTGAGGTACATATTTTTTAAAGATATTTTAGTCATGGGAATAAAATTATTTTAGATATTTATTTATCTGATATATTTTAGGCACAGACCCAGAAAGGCATTTCTGAGAGCTTGGGAGCAGAAGTAGATCCTGATATGTCTTGGTCGAGTTCATTAGCGACACCCCCATCACTTTCTCCAACAGTCATAATAGGTAAAAATATTAATATGTTTAAGTCCATATAAAAATATTGTGCTGTTTTATCCTCAGTATGAGGTACAGAAAGAAAGGGACTTTTAGCCTTCCCTCTCATTGTGGAATCTGCCAATTCTAACATCTTTTCAGTACTAGTTAAGGTCTTTATTATTCTTCCAGAATATTTAGCATAATTTAATATATTTTAATATCACTAAAGTATTTAAATATCTTTTAAAGATTGATACTGGTATTTATCTCTCAATTTTATATTTTACCATTAGAAAGTTTATGAGGCTTCTTTTAGCTCTCTATACATCAGGGATGGAGGCCTACTGTTAAGTAGGAGGCCAGATGTCCCTCTATCCATTGAATGACATTGATTTGTTGCAAGCATGACAGCTAATGTCATTTGGCCCCAAAACAAACTGTTCACTGGTTGCAGACCCAGCTTTGTTGTATGCAGTTTTCCCTTGTTTAGGCTATATCTACACTCAGCAAAGCCACCTTGTCTGAAACACTGGGTGAATAATACACTGGCCCTCAGGCAGGGCAGCTTTCCAGGCACAACACATCTGTTTGCAGGGCATGCAAGGCTGTGTTAGCTCAATCTCCTTCACTCCTAGCCCTCCCAATTAGGAGATGGCATATGCAGGAGATTCCTTGATATATCACCAATAAAGGTTCTTTTCCTACCTTCTACCGAAGCTCCTGCTACTCTCCAGGGAGTAGGTTTGAAGAAGAGCCCACAGAGGGTGCCCAACGTTTCTGTGGGCCAGATGAGGAACCTCTGCAGGCTACAGGTTCACCATCCATGCTTTTTCTGACTTGATTGTGGCTAGTGTTATGCTCTCCATACTAGTTCTGGATTTTCATTTGAAATTTGTATGTTTGAATTCTGTTTTAAATTGAGCTATTCCAAGACACCTATAGAGTGAAATGGAAATAAAAAATCCCTCCAAATATTGTTGGACTGCAGTTCCTATTATCCCTCACCTTGTTTGCCTGGGATGATGGGAGCTGCAGTCCAACATCATCTGAAGGGCCACATGTTCCCCATCTGAGTTATTATGAGGTAACTAAAAATATAAATAGGATTGAATGCAGAACTAGATATACATAGAGTAAACCTATTGTAATCCTTGAGTTTTAGGTAAGTTGTAGCTAAGTTAAATGCCATGGATTTCAGTAGCTCTGATTATTACCTAAGTCTACATTCATTCTATGGTAAATAAATGAATGTTTTACATATCTGTTACTGGTATCAACTGTTCTGCTGGGAAGTTGATGTAAGTATCATTCATTCCATTGGAAATGCTCCAACATAAGATTTATGAGTTGCAACATCATTACAAATGATTTATTATTTTTTATTTTGAAATTTCAGATAGAGAAAATGATTCTAGAGTTTCTGGAACAAAGCAACATAATGAAAGACTTGAGTTGGTGAGTAACTATTAGCTAAGAAAATACCAAAGTAACAACTTTTTAAATACCCTCAGACGCTGTGTAATCTGCATAAGTTAATTTCCTCTGTTTGTTTTTCAGATCATGCATAGCCTTTTTTCCAAGTATGACAGAAGTCTCAAAGAGAATAAAATGGACACACAATCCGCATCAAGAATTGAGGATGTGTGTTCAGAGACTCCCAGCAAAATTCACAGTGAGCATTGGTGTTTTACTCACCATCTTTTACTTCTGTCCCTTTATTTGTTCTTTACTAGCTATTTATATGTTGTTGTTTGAATAATAAAACAAGTTTTCCTTCTGGGATGTGTCCAGCTGCATGACCATATCATATATATCTTGCTTTAGTCCTTGATAACAAACAGGTATATGACATTATTCACTGAAACAAAATAAAATGCTCACCAGTTACATAAGATGACTTCAGGAATATACATCAAGAAAATGTACAAATATCAAAAAGAAAAAAACCCCAAGAAAATCAGTCCCATTCAGTCAGTCTTCTAATAATTATGATGCTGGGAACAATTGACAGCAAAAGGCGAAGGGGACGGCAGAAGATGGGGTTGCTAGATGGAGTGACTGAGGCAGTGGGTGTGAGCTTGGGTGGACTCCAAGGGATGGTGGAAGACAGGAAAGCCTGGAGGAATGTTGTCCATGGAATCATGATGGGTTAGGCACAACTTGGGTTAGGCAATGGGTTAGGCAACTAACAACAACAAAAAAACTACATTCATTAAATTTCAGGTGCATCTATATCTGTCACTGTGTCTGTCAAAAATGTCTGACCTAGAATGTTTCTAGTTCTGCAAACCCTGTTTCCATGAATTAAAAAGCAGCTGGGAAATGCACATTGTTCCTAAAAAGTATTAAAATGGTTTTGTTTTGTTTTTTGAAATGAGTATCTCCATAACAAAACTTAATCAGTTTAAAGTACAGTCCTGGCAAGCAGTGAGAGGAATTATGGTGCTTTTCCTTCCTGTTTCTTCTATTTAGCATTTTCAGTTAGTTACAACTATACTACTCAACTCATAGAATCATAGGAGAGTTGGAAGGGGCCAAGAAGTCCATTGGGTTCAACCCCCTGCTGTTGCAGGACACCAATTTACACCATCCCATTCCACTCAAATGGCTGTCCAGTTTCTTTTTGAAGGTCTCTAGTGTGGAGAGCCCATGATCTCTCTAGGCAACTGGTTCCACTGTTGTATTGTTGACAGTGAGGGACCTTTTCCTGAAATTTAGCCTGAACCTGGTTTTTCACAACTTGAGTTGGTTATTCTGTGTCCTATACTCTGGCATCAGCAAGAAAAGATCTTGACCTTCCTCTTTGTGACAGCCTTTGAGGTACTTATAGAGTGATACCGTGTCTCCCTTCTTCAGCCTTCTGTTCTGAAGCCTGAACATGCCCTGTTCATTCAGTCTCTCTGCATAGGACAGTGTTTCCATTTTTGTTGCCCTCCTTTCTGCATCTTTCTTGAATCTTGGTGCCCAGAATCACCAACTGGTAGGAGGGAGAAAGAAAAAGCTTGTTGATACTGCAGATAGTGAGCTCTCCCTCCCTGCCCCTCATCTGCCCTCTCTTCTGCCTCCCAGCTGTCTTCTGAAGTTGTTGCAACCTTACAAGAAAATTTACCTCAGTAATTTCCACAAAAGGTATGAGGGATGCCTGGATGGGAAATCAATGTCCAGCTATCCCTCATTGTTAACTTTTGTTATCAGTTGGTGCTTCAGATACTTGACTTTTGTCTGGCAATATTTGACTGGTCGAGTAAATGAAGGATGGGATCCAAAAAGCTGCTTAGGCTCACACACAACATTAGTAATAGCCTAGTGAAATTATATTTTTGTTTGTTTTGTGAAGAACTGGCCCCCTCCTCTCATATCATATTACACATTATAAGAGCCAGTATGATGTAGTGGTTAAAATGTGGGACTGGGGCTCAGGATGCAGGAAAATTAGAAAAGGTCCAGAGGAGGGCAACAAAAATGGTCCAGGGTTTGGAAACAATGCTCTATGAGAAGAGACTGAGAGAACTGGACATGTTCAGTCTTGAGAAGAGAAGACTGAGGGGGATATGATATCCCTCTATAAGTACCTCAAAGGCTATCACAAAGAGGAAGGTCAGGATCTCTTCTTGCTGATGCCAGAGTATAGGACACAGAATAATCAATTCAAGTTGTGACAAATTCAGGCTGGACATAAGGAAAAGCTTCCTCATAGTCAGAGGAATACAACAGTGGGACCAGCTGCCTATAGAGGTGGTGGGCACTCCTACACGCAAGACGAGACATTAAAAAAGAAACTGGACAGCCATCTGAGTGGGATAGTGTAACTTGGCATCCTGCAACAGGCAGAGGGTTGGACCCAATGGCCTTCTTGGCCCCTTCCAACTCTCCGATTCTATGATTCTATGTCAAGAAAAGTTCTGAAGGCAGGCTACCATCTATTGTGAAATGGTCTACCAATACTAAAACTAGAGCCATGAAATACATTAATTCTAATCAGAGATCACAAGTTACTGAGCACCACTTCTCCAGAAGAATTACCAGTTTCAGAAAACCTTCTGGTATCTGTTATGATTATTGGAAGGTCCCAGCTTTAAAGAAAGATTATGAGGCTGAGCAGACTTCTTTTGTAAATGGTTGAGGCAGTATTCTTTTTAATGGAAAACACAATTTGAACAGAATTCTCAAGTCCACAGCTATTTCTGTCATAAATACTTAAGAGAAAATGGTAAAGCTTCCTTTGACCTTCTTTTAGGTAAGGTGCTAATTCCAGCTGGTACTGATGACAGCAGACTCACAAGGTCAGGCCTAAAGACCATAAGTTCACTTTACAATTTGAAAAAGCGACCCAAAAGGTTTATTTACACAGTAAATAATAGTCCAGTTTACCAAGAAGACAAAACTACAGAGGGAGATGGATCTTCTCATCTTATGCCAAACTGTGCAGATTTAAAATATTGCGTGTCTGAAGCCATCAGAAATGAAGGTACAATGGTTATATTTGTTTTTAAAATTCAGATTCTAACACCCATACATCTCTATACTTTTTGTGTCTTTGCTGTGAGACTCTTACCTTGGCTGCATAGAAAACAAGATTTTTCTGGCAATACAGTACCAAAAGAGTAGAATATTTACTTTAAAATTCTAAATAAAAAGTCAGTGTTTAAATTTTGTAAAATATGTAAAAATATTAATAAATCTAGTAGCAGAAGCATTTCAGACATAAATATAAATTATTAGCTGCATCTTGACTTGTAGTCACAAGGAATTTTAAAAAATAAATTTAATGTACTAGAGTAGTCCTAAAAGATCAGTGCCTAATACATACCTAGTGTCAAATCCTATGTTAATTAATTGACAGTTTTGCTGTGCAGAAGGGAGACAGTGTGTTACTTTCCACATGTTGTTCAATTCCAGTTTTAATAAGCAGCCTACATTCAACCATGTCATAAGTGGTTGAGTGTGGCAGGCGAATTAGGAGTACTGGGCTGTTTAGTGGTTAAATGAGCTAGCAGTCAACCTATGGTTTGTTGTTGAGTTAATCATGCTAAACAACCCAGCACCCCAAGTTTGTATGTCATGCTCAGCAACCTATGACCCAGCTGTTTGTAGGTTAATTTAAGGCAGAAATTGCTTGTACACTGCAGCAGTATGCCCACTGTAGCAGTGTGCCCACCGATTGTGGGTAAATTGTGAATGAACTGGGTCAATGTGAGGGAGGGTATGTTTAATATTGGTGTAATTCCAACTAACATCACTTTATGGTATTTTTCCTTTACAGAGAAAACTGAAGGATTTTCAGGTGCTAATAAGCCCAGTATTGAACAAAAGCAGCATGTAGGGTCTGGGTTTTTATCAAACACTACTCTTATGAATGTTTTCCAGGAAACTCCATGCAATGAAAAGTCAAGCACAGAAAGTGGTTTTCCATATCAGTCATCAGTAGTTCTACAGACTGACAGGAAAAGAGAGAGAGTTATGCTTCCTAGTCATATAGCTGCTGATCCAGTAATAGAGTCAAGTAAAAACAAGTTCCATAAAATGAGCCAGAAGGACACCTTGAATAGAGAGAGAGGTAGAAAATACAACCATCTCACAAACTTCAGTTCATTGCAAGAAGTGGTTTTTGAAGAATCTACATTAGCAGTGCAACCATCAAAACTTGGAAATAGTTGTTCTGTCTTGGAATTAGCTACACAACATTGTTTGGAAAGTAACACTCCAATGACTGAGCTTGGGTTTCAGACAAAGAAAATACTGCAACCTACTACAGTTGAGTCTTCTAAGCTTATAGTACCTGAGAAAAATGTAGACAGGAAGCAGTTTATACCAATAATCTTAAAAGGAAATACAAATGATAGAAAGCAAACATGCTTGGCACATACAAATCATAACAAAACCCAGTGCTTTGGCACTTTTAAAACGGCTTCCAATAAACAAATAGCACTATCTGATAACAACAATAGAAAAAGCAGATTGCTGTTCAAAGACATAGAAGATCAATTTCTTGAATGTTTTCCTGGTGAAGGAATGAACAGTATTTCAAATCAAAATGTGAAAGAGAATGTTGGCATTTCTTCAGTTGGGAGAAATGTGTTGAATGAAAACTCATCTAATTTTCCACATGTTTCTGATTCGCTGATGAACGGTACTCAGTTCAATGATACCCAAAATATTTTTCCTTTTCAGAGTATAATTAAAAATCAACAACTTGAAGGCAAACAAAATTTAACAGCAAGCCAAGAAGCTGAAGTTATTGAACTTTCTAATATACTAGAAGAAACCGGTAGTCAGTTTGAATTTACACAGTTTAAAAAACATCAGAATGTGATGTACAATACTTGTGAAATGTCAGGAAGCTTTAGTAAAGATGATTTAAATTCTGAAGTCTGGAAAGATATTGATTTTGAGGAAACTTTTGAAAACAAAGTTCTAAATGGCAATGATCTTTCTTCTGATAAGCATATGGGAACAACTGAGGAATGTAAGATACAGGCAGAAAGTAGTAAAGAGATTGTATCAACACATTTATCAAGCAGAGAACGGAACATAAATTTTCCAACTATTTCTGTGCCTTTGCAGCATGATAAGGGGGACTGTAATTCAGCTGGAGGCAAAGAGATGAGCATTTCTGATGAGATTATTAACAGAGATACAAAATTTGTCAGTGATCTGTATGTAGCAGATGAAATGCTTATGCCACGGAAGCCAAATGTTCAACGTGATTGTTCAAATAGTTGTAAAAGTAATTGGAATGATTCCAACTCTACAAAAGCAAGATGTGAGTGGCATCAGATTGCGAAAACAGTAGATGCTGGATATATGATGAAAAATAATACAATTAACTTTGTGAAAGAAAACATAAAAGATTTATCAAAAGTAGCAAAGTATAATGGAAGCAATGTTATTCAGATTACTAGTACTACAGAAGTTAACCTAAAAATTGTTAAAAAATATTCTGTTCAGATGACAGCAAATGAACTTTCATCCACTGAAAATAATCACAACTTTTTAGTGTCACATCACTATGCAAACTGTGGAGAAGCTGCATTTAATTATAATTTGTCTGAAACTTTATCTGATCTAACCTGTTTAGCTGAAGTTGCGAAGACTGAAGAAAAAATAACTTTTAATGATGCTGATGAAAATCCAGATCAGAAAAAGGAAAATGTAAATAATCCAGAGAGTAACTATTTACTACAGAATTATCACACTGTTGTCGATGGGAACATATTTGCTGGAAAAAATAAAATTCACCATTCATTGGGTGGTTCCTGTATAGAAACGTCATCTTCCAATGGGAATATATTTGTGAGAAATGAAAAAGAAGATATCATTTCCATGACAAAGCACATAGACTTAAATCAAAATGGACACTTCTTTGACACCAACCATCAGAAAACCCCTGAAGTCAAAAAAAAACAAGCCAGTGCTTTCCATACAGCTAGTGGTAAGCAAATTATGCTCACTGATGAATCTTTAGCTAAAGCAAAGCATCTTTTTTCAGAAGTAACTGATTTCCCAGACAAAGTGGATGATGTCACACCTAGCATTCACACTTCAATAAAACAGAAAGTGAATGAGGAGATTACCACAGTAAGAAAAGAACTTGGTGAAGCAGCTCAGAAACATGGAGAAGTTCTAAATCCTGAAGATAATTTTGAACATTCTCTGGATCTATTTTCAAGCACTGTTAGAAATACTGAGAGTTTTGGAACTGTTAAAGCACTCTCTTTAGAGGTGAATGCAACTGAATCAAAGAAGACTCAGACATATACAACAAGCAAAAAAGGCATTTCAAAAACTGTTTGTTTTGATTCTGATGGTGATCAGCATTTATATATTGAAGAGTCAGGTACGTGCTCAAAACAAAATCTGAAGCACTTGTCATCTAGAGATACATGCAATGTTTTAATTACTAAGAATAATAAAAAACTTGCTTCTTTGGATCTAACTTGTAATGCCACTTCAAAAACTAGTTACTCTGATTTGGAAGGTGGGAATTCTGTGTTGCACCATTCACGTGATGCATACAGTGAAAGAAATTCCATCCCAGAGGATTTTACCTGTATTTTTGAAGGAGAAGCTTCAACCAAAGGTTTTAATGTAGAAAACAATGTTAGCATTTTTAAAGAAATGCTTAAAAATGAAAGTTGTATGTCATATATACATCATTCAAATCTGTTGGATACCTTGGATGACAATAACTTACAGAAATACTCAATTAGTGAAGCAGCAGCCTCAGCTTCAAAACCATGGAAAGCTAGACCAGTTGCATTCAATACAGCAAGTGGTAAAACTGTTGAAATTTCTCAGGAAGCATTAAAAAGGGGCAGACAGTTGCTTCATGAAGACTGCTGTGAATCCATGCAACAGAATATAACATCCTACTCAAAAGCAAATAATTCTAACACTTCAGAAAGTTGTCATGATAACTTAGGCAGCAGAGAGTGTGTTACTACTCCCGGTTGTTTGAGTGTTAAAACAATTCCAATGGGATCTTCCAGTGCACTCCACTTTTCAAGAGTCAAAGAGTCCTGTGAAGATGATCAAGCATTAAAGTGTACTGGATCTATGTCCTTGAACACTGTGCCTGAATCAAACTGTCAGATGAATAATAAGGCTGAAAGACAGACCTCTGACATGCTAAACTGTATCAAGTCAGACTTTGCTACAGGTAATTGTGGCCTTTTCTGCACAGCAAGTGGCAAACCTGTACAGTTATCTGAAGAATCATTAAAGAAAGCAAGACTACTTTTTTCTGAAATTGAAAATGAATTGCCAGGTCATCAGAGCCATGTATCAGATTGTGCAGTATCTTCTGTCAAGAACAAAGCAACTCCTGTGGAAAACAAGCCAGTCCTATCCCAAGAGAAGAGATTTCTGAAGAATGAAGTAAATTCAAATATCCCTTATGGCTTTAGCACAGCAAGTGGAAAACAGGTTCACATCTCTCAGAAGGCTCTCCAGAGTGTTACGGGACTTTTAAAAGAATTTGATGTCAATAGTGATGGTTTCTCTGTTGATCAACCGGGGCAAGGACATAGTTCACCCATTAAAGCCCCTGCTACAGAAGCTACAGTGACTGCTGATACTACTTCAGATTTCAAACCACCAGCGAAATGTCATGTACTTTATTTAAACACAAAGAATCCTAATGAAAAGAAGGCTTCTAAAAACTCATTGAATGTTAATATACCTACGCACGTGCCCCATACTGAGAAATATAAGCAGCTAGTGGAACTGGAAAAAAACTATGCAACAAACTTTAATACTGTAACAAAAGGAAATCTGGATTCTCACTGCTCTGTTTACACCCAAATTCCAGAAAAGTACTTGGAAATAGAAGCTTCAGAAAGTGCCAAAGCATTCATGAAAGATAATGATCTCACAAATTCAGAAGTACAGAAAGATAAAAAAGAATCCCTCTTAAGTTCTGAGAGAAGTTGTGATTTTTTATCATGTGCAAGAACTGGAAAAAGATGCATAGAAGGAAAGAATGTGTTTGGTAGGTATCTTTTATTCGAACCTGATTCTATGTTTTTTCATAGTAGTATAGCCATTGACCTCAGTTTAATTTGCTATAAATCATTGCTTTTAGGGTGGACAGGATATTATATCAGATGGTAAATGGTTTCAGCCTCACATTTACAAAGATAATAGCACTGGTAAACATTTGCTGATTCTTCCTTGCAAATGGTTCCCATGCCCTTCATAAGCTTTATGAAGGACACATGGAACTAAAAAGAGGATCTGTTGCACCACTGGAGTTGCAGTCTTTGCACATCTTTTACTTTTGTGGGTTAAGGGTAAAATGTTCTCTTTCTCCATGAATTAACAAAAGTCAATCTAAACATTTTATTTTACTTTGAAAATTAGGGCTTTACATAACATATGTTAAACAAATAGAACACCTGCATCAGGACCTGCATCCCAGTAAATTAGGAATGATGTCTTCATTAAAATCATAATGAAGTACTCACTGAATTAAATTTTGGTAATGATTTCCATGCTACCAAGATAAACTTCTAGATTTAACATTACAAGGGCCTTTGAAAAACCTTTACTTGATAAAATGTTTTAGACGCATTACCTGAGAGAATAAATTATAATGGCTAACTTGAGAAATGTTCTTGAGAAATGTTAGGTTAGTCATATATTAGAATCAGTAAGAACTAGATTATTTAAAATCATGGATTTCAGATTCTTTAAAATGACTTTCCAGCATTTTAGGTTGTCTTCACAGGGGCTATCTAATGCTCCTATATTTGCAAAAGTAATCTCCATCAACTGAAACATAAAATATTTCCAATGGTGACTTGGCAGTAGGACTAAAACATTAGTAAGCTTAAGCCTGATGTTTTCAAAAGAAAGCATTATAGATGAAGGGAGCTCATTTGAGAAGAACAGGACCTTGAAATTTGTACCACTATCTCATACAAGTAGTTTTAATCTTTCATAACATGAACTGCTATAACATTGAGCAGAATTCTATATTAAGCATACATTTTCAAAATACTGTATGATCTTTGCTTTTCAGGAGAACCTCCTATTAAAAGAAAATTGCTGTATGAATTCAATCAGTCAGAAAGGTCCAACAGTCCATTTTTGAATGCCTCAAGAAGTACTCCAGATGGTAATTTTGTATTTTAGCTTTCTGGCAGTTATTCAGAATTGCCAAACATGTAGTTTCAGTTTTGTAGTTAAAACATGTATATATATATATAATGAAACTTGATCAATGTCTATGTGAGCACTCTATTTTGCATACTGTCCCTACCATTATGAAGCTACATGTCTTGTATATATAAAACTGCACTGATGCTTGACATTTATATTTTACATTTAAAGTGTTCAAAGTACTGCATATACATTGTCTCAGCAATAAGGAAGCAGTTTACTGATACTTATGTGCTACTGTGACCTTATGGGCAGGCAACAAATACATGATTTTTTAAAAATATGCTACATGGTAAAATGTAGAGACATCTTCTGTACCTGTAGACGTGTACAAAATAATTTATTTTGGAAATGCATCTTTTTATGTTGGGATGAGAGAGGCTGCATCTGCTGACATCCTTGAATCTACTCTACTTTGCACCTAGTATTGCAATTCTTTAGAGAAACCAGTAGAATTCTAAAAACAAAAGCTATGGGCAAAATCCAACAGATCTTTATGCCTCTGTCAATTCTTGTCCACAGTCAGGACCTACAGTTTGCAGTGCAATGATTTAGTGCTGTGGGGAAACCAGAGATTAGTGTAAATCTGAGTTTCTGTAATGGGACAGGTTAGTAGAGGTTGCATAATGAAGCTCCATTTACTTGTTGCTTTTATGAAAAGCATTTCTATGCATTTCATGGTTTTCATCAGAGAAATGGTATAAATCTTGATTGCACAGGTGGTGCAGAATCCACCTCTTTTATAACAGAAGCAGTGTTGGAGAACTGGTAAAGGCATAGCGTCATTGGATTCTGCCCTATATTTCCAGAGGAATAGTTTGCAGCCTTAATAGAGATGTGAAAACCAGGGGTTGAAACCAGGATTTGCCTTTCACAAGAGACCTTCCGCAAGCAGAAGTTATCTCCACCAGATATTTGGGGATCTCCTCCCACACCTACCACAGCTCATTCCATTCAGTATGGTCTTCTGACTCAGAGTATCATTTTCATGAGAATGGAGAAGCTGATCCAAGAAAGAAAGAAAGAAAGAAAGAAAGAAAGAAAGAAAGAAAGAAAGAAAGACAGACAGACAGACAGACAGACAGGAAGAAAGACAGACAGACAGACAGACAGACAGACAGACAGACAAGGAGAATTTACTTTCATTAGCATAATTTATCCAGTGTAAATCTGGATCCTACCCTACATACGTGATTAGTTGCCAGCACCCAATTCAGAGTGAACTAGAGAGTAACAGATCAATGGATTCATTGATCCCAAGTCAATTGCAACATCTCAAGTCACATTGGCAAGGATGGAAGGAGTGGAATATGATTCCCCTCTTTTCATTATACTGATTCAACATTTGTTTGGCTGAGGGGCCCACAATGGACTCGCTTTGGGCTTTCTGTCTACTATGACTGGTGGGAGAACTGCTAGCAGACACTTTCTGCCTGCCCACATTCACTGCAGATCTCTGCTACAGAGCAGCTTTCCTCTATAAACAGCAATTGCCATGGAGCTACCACTTCTGCATCCTAATCCTTTCCAGACATCAAGAAGGGTGGGTAATGGGTGTTTTTTTCTGTATTGCAATTTGGTAATAATTTTCATTAAAAAGACTAACTTAAACAGATTTCACTAAAAATCTGAACTAACTCTGACCAGAATAATCATAGGACATTAAATAATCATTAAAATTATTATTTTAATTCAAAAGTTAATGTAGGAGTATCTCTATTGAAATTTACAGTATTTTAAAAGTCATGAAACTTACTTGGATATACAAATTGTTCTCCTTTAGGTACAGTGAATGACAGAAAAAAGTTTACCTACAATATCTCTTTAAACCCATTAATCTGCAGTCCTTTTAGGTAAGAATAAGCTATAATTTCAGTCTCAATACCTTTTTACCCATGTGTGCATAGCATGACTTCTTTTCTCCAAACACAAGTTCTGTATACTTTAACTGTATCCATTTTTAAGTTCACCTGAGTTTCAAAAGCAGCCTATCCTGCAGCATATAAAGCTATGGGACATGTGGAAAAGAACATCAGCTGCCTTTTTTATCACTGAATTCTCTGGCTCATAAACAAATAACAATATTTTAAAGTCATTCAGCATGCTTCTCATGATTTGGCTTGACTTACCAGATTGTATGCACTTCGTGTAACATGATTGGTTAAAAGTTACCCAGCGTGTGTAATGAAGTTCAATATAAAAGCCAATATAATACATTCCAAAAGAAGGTTAGTGAGGGGAGCCTAATGTCATTGTTATAGCCTTGCCTTTGATTAGTCTATGTAAGATTAGGTAAGTGTTACAGTGTTAATTTAAGAACTGCAGTGTTTATTAATGTAAAAAAAGACATCCTGCACAATGAAATAGAGGTGTGTAGTACTTGCTTAATCTGTGATTGCCAGGTCAAAGAAGAGTAAAATAAAAGGACTTTTACTTGAATTCACTGTATAGCAAAATATTTTCATATGTTTAGCTCTGCAAAGAAGAGCAAGAATTTCTGAGTGCAAACCTTACTGTTCCCAATCAAGATTTTGAACGGTATAAAACTGATAGATTTCAGCTACATATTTCAAAGTAGTCTTCAGATAAATCAGATTTATTTATTTGTTTTAGCAAAACCTCTGCTGATGGAACCAAGAAAATGGAAAATTCTCATAGAGCAAAGCAAGCTGTCAAAGTCTTTGTGCCACCTTTCAGAACAAAATCAAGTGCTTCTGAGAATGAAATAGGTAACAGCAAAGAGTCTGTCGACAATAGAATGGAAGAACTTAATGCTGAAAAGGTTCATGAAATCACCAGTGAACCTGTAATGGATACTTCCACACAAATAACAGCTGTAGGTTCAGAATGTGAAGATACATATTCAGGTATGTTGGGTGTTAATTTCCTGGGTTTGTGTGGGCAAGTGTTTGGTGAGCATTAGTTATTTACTGTGAACTTTTATTAAGAAAAAGCCTTGGTAAAGATGACCTCCTTAGTAGCTGGTGTGGTTCCACATATTGCATAGGCTAAATTGTAGACATTTATAGATGGTATGTTCAACCTGTTCTAGATAGGGGTCTCCTTCCCAGGCGCTTGAAGGAGTCAGCTCATAGCTTGGGGGTTCTCCTTCAGCCAGCTTTGTCAAGTGAGATTCAGGTAATCTCAGTGCCACGGAATCTGCCAACTTCAATTTGTAGCCCAACTACACCCCTATCTGGACAGTGATAATCTGACTTTAGTTGTCTGTGCTCTGGCAACCTCTAAGCTAAATTACTGCAGCATTCTACATGGGGCTGCCTTTTTGATGGTTCAGTAGCTGCAACTTCTGCAGAACATGGCATTCGGATTGATAGCAGGGACCAGAAATTCTGAACATATAACACCAATTCTAGCCCACTTTTGTTGGCTGCCTATATGCTTCCAAGCCCAATTCAAAGTACTGCTTTTTGACCTATAAAACCAGAACTGCAATACCTGACAGAATGCTTCCCCTTACATATGAACCTACTTATACATTATATTCATTATCTAAGACCTGCTTCCAGGTACCTCCTCTGAAGAGGCTCAGGAATAACAAAGGAGAGGGCATTCTCTGTGATGCCCCCCCCCCCGGGTGATCTACCTAATGTCCTGAGTCTGGCTTCACATCATCATCGTTAGCTTTTCAGCACTGGACTAAGACTATCACCTTCTCCCAGGCAGTTGGCAGCAAAATATGAGGGATTAAAATATATCTTGGATTTTTCTTTTTGTTTAAAATTGCGGTTAGTTATATATATGCCTCTGTATGTTGTATGTTTGTATGCATCATCAGAGTTAAAAGTGTAGAATGTAGAAGACAACAGAGGAAGCCCATGTGGCTCCACAGACAGTTAAGTGACAGTCTGAAAGGTAAAAAGAACATGTACAGGAGGTGGAAACAGAGCCAGGCTCCAAAGGGCCAAATAAACAAATAGCAAGGAATTGCAGGGACAGCATCAGGAAGGCTAAAGCAGGAAATGAACTGAGACTAGCAAGGGATGCTAAGAACAATAAAGACTTCTTTAGATATATCCAAAACAAACGGCATGTGAAAGAGAAAGGTGTCCAGCTACTTAAAGTAGATGGCAGAGTGATAATAGACAACAAGGAAAAGGTGGAGGTGCTCCATTCCTACTTCGCCTCAGTCATCTCCCATAAGAAAATCTACAGCAAAGAGGAAGTACAAGCTGAAAGTGAGAGATGACAGCCCAAGATTGACAGGCAAATGGTTGAGGAATACCTAGATGTTCAAATCTCCAAGACCTGATGAACTCTATCCCAGACTCATAAAAAAGCTAGTGGAGGAACTCTCAGAACCACTGGCTAAAACAAATCTTGGAAAACAAGAGAAGAGCCAGACAATTAGAGAAGGGCTAATAATGTCCTCATATTCAAATAGGGGAGAAAAGATGAGCCTGAGATCTACAGACAAGTTAGTCTGACATCAGTCCCTGGAAAAATTCTGGAGAAAATTATTAATCATTCCACAAGCACCTTGAAAAAAAATGTAGTGATTAATAAAAACCAACATGGATTTATCAAAAAGAAATCCCATCAGACTAATTTAATCTCATCTTTTTGACTGGGTAACCTCCGAAACAGAGACAAAGGGAACACTGTGGACATGATCTACCTTGACTTTAGCAAAGCTTTCAACATAGTGCTCCACAACGTTTTGATAAGCAAATTTGCAAAAATGGACTAGATAGGAAAACTATTAGATGGGTCAAAAATTGGCTGCTAAATCAGACACAAAGAGTGCTTGCTAATAGCACTTGCTCAAACTGAAGAAGGGTAACTAGTGGGGTGCCACAAGGTTCAGTCCTAGGCCCAGTGCTCTTCAATGTATTTATTAATGATTTAGGTGAGGAAGTACAAGGAACGTTAATCAGATTTGCAGATGACACAAAACCGGGTGGAATAGCAAACACCCTAGAAGATAGAATAAAGATCGAGGGCAATCTTAATACATTTGAATACTTGGCTGAAAGCAACAGAATGAGATTCAAATGGGACACGTGTCAAGTCCTCCACCTAACAAAAAGAAACCAAATGCATTGATACAAGATGGGGAACACTTGGCTGAACAGATCTGAAAAAGAAAAAGTTGCTATTTTTGTGGACCACAGGCTAAATATGAGCCAACAAAGCAATGTAGCTATGAAAAGGGCAAATGCTATTTCAGGATGCATTAATAGAAGTATTACTTTCCAAATCATGAGGAGTAATAGTTGCCCTATACTCTTGACTGGTCAGACCTCATCTAGAATATTGTGTCCATTTCTAGGCAGAAGAAAAATGAAGAAAAATTGGAAAGGGTTCAGAGGAGGGCAAGAAAATTATCCGGCGTTTGGATACATTGCTCTGTGAGGAAAGACTAAGAGAACTGGGCATGTTCAGCATTGGGAAAATTTGAGGGGGAATGTGATATTACTTCCAAGTAACTAAAAGGCTTTTAGATCTTTGTAAGCTGCCCAGAGATCTTTGTATACTAGATGGTATAGAAATTTAATAATGAAATTAAATTAAACTTGGTAACCTCCACTGAAGTTTGTGCAATGCATAAATATCATGAAGGAAGTAAGCATTGTTAGAATGATGTTGTATAGTGCTTGTTTGGGCCTCTACTTGTTTGGTTGTGGCTCAGTGGTAGAGCACATACCTTGCAAGCGGAAAGTCCCTGGTTTAATCCTTGGTATCTCCAGGTAAGTATAAAATGCACGTGTCTTGATCTTGCTGTCTGTAAAGCCAAAAAAAAGGACTAGCTTATCAGTGATAGTCATTCAGTAAATATTTGTTACATGCTATGTACAGTGATCTTGTAATCAAAATAATTTATGACTGTTAAAATGATTTCGAATGGCATTTAAAGAGATGTCTAAAACGTGATACTATTCTTAAGAAAATAAGAACCCTGTCTGGTCTAGCAGTCTGTTCTCATAGTGTCCTTGCAGATGTAAGTGGAAAGCCCACAAACGGGACATGAACACAACACCACTCTCACTCTCATGTGCTTAGAATTTCTGTTTTAAATTAAAGAATGGTTATTTAGGCCTTAATGTGTGCTTTTTGTAACAGATTTAAGAAAAATGGTGGAAAATCTTCGCTATTCCAGAAATCTGCAAGAAATGAGAATTATGAAGAAACAAAAGCAAAGAATCCGCCCACAACCTGGCAGCTTGTATCTTGTGAAAAAGTCAGCCTCTTCTTGCAGGATTCCTCTGAAAGTTGCAGTAAAGGAAAAATTGCCTCATGCTTATTTCAGTGAACAGGTACCTCCACTGTACACCCTAGTTTAAACAGTCTTGTCTCAACTTAACCACTATACATCTTTATGTTGCAACTAATCCAACCAGGAAGACTTAATTAATTACAGCTTCCCATTTCATCCATACTGGGAAATTATGGTTACCAGTTCTGGTGAGCAGAACAAGGCAGTTTGCCAACCACATTTTGAAGTTGGTTTTAGGAGGCTAGTTTGATGCAAAACTAATAAAAGTGCATAAGGTCACATGATTAAACCACCATAGTTTAAATAACCCATGAATTTAAAGTGTTGTATGTGCCACTTGTTTAAAGTGACAATGTGTTCCAAGTGCTATTAGCCTAATTACCCACTTTTGTTCAAACTGGAGTAGTCTCTTGTTTGAAGAGAAAGCAGGCCTCAGATAATCCAGAATCTTTGCTGCTTTTGCTAAGCAGCTCCAGGCAGGCACTGAAGACAGTTGCCTACAAAGTTCCCAAATTATACTTAGGGGCAGGTGTCACTGCATGTCACCCTCTCATGCCCCAAACAGGGCTTGGTGAGGTAGTGCATAGCAGAAACACCCATTCATTTCAGTTGGTGAGCACTTCAGAGTGAAAGTGGCCCTGTTCCTGCTTGTTACCATGTGCTCAGGCAGCCCCTATTGCAAGCAGTCTTTGTCTACTGGGATCATCCCCACCTGCTGTTTCTCTCCAGCATTGTTGGAGAAGAAATTACCATTGCTGCACACTGTAGTGATCAGCCCTTTTGGCTGACAGTGGTGGCAGGAGCACTTTTCCAAAATGAAAGCAGGGAGGAAAAGTAATTTGGTGCTCCCACTGTATCCCCTGGGATATCTGTGGGAGGACCAAGGAGAAAAGAGGAAGCACTTTATCTCCCAGTGTATCTGATTCTCTGCCAGGTACATTGGGGTAGGGTGGATTATAGGTTGTACTGCATAGCTTTTATGCAGTGTGGTTTATTATGTCATGTGATTCTTCCTATTCTCTTTATCTCCTGCCCTCTTTAACTTTTTTCTTGAATTGCTTGATCAGACAGGCTTTCTCTGTCTCTGGGCCAGTTTGAATGAATGCCACAGTCCACTGTGATTTAGTTGGATTATTCGTATGAGTGACAAAACAGCCACACCCTTAAAACATTTCATGTTTTGTGGGTGGTTAACCACACCAACACTAACCCTGTGCTGGGTTCAGGCATCACAATAATGCCACAACTACTGTAACTTGGAAATTCCCAGCGACTGTTGGCAATCATTACAGTGATGGTGCAGTCCTGGCCTCTGTCCTTCTGCCAGTCCTTCAGAACTGATGTTATATTAGCCCATATAGTGGTTTATCATTAAATGTACATTCTTTAAGCTCATGTCCTTCACTTCCTTCTCCTCCACTGGTCCATCTGCAAGTAGAAACTCAAACACTTTTCCTTCCAGTTTCAATTATTTTATTTATTTATTTATTTAAAACATTTCTATGCCGCCCCATTCGCCAAAGCCTCGGGGCGGCTCACAAAATAAATTAAAATATAATACATTAGAAATATAAAACAACAATGTAAAATAAGTCACCCTGGCCAGATAAAATAAGCAAATAATATTAACAATTAAAATGACATTCAAATAAAAAGGTCTTCGCCTGGCGCCGAAAAACAAATGACAGCACCAGGCGGACCTCTCTGGGGAGCACATTCCATAGATTGGGCGCCACCGCAGAGAAAGCCCTCCTCCGAGTACCTACCCTCCTAATTTCTTTCACGGAGGGTTCCCGGAGAAGGGCCTCTCCCGCAGTTCTCAAGGGGCGGGTGGGCATATACGGATGTAAGCGCTCCTTCAGGTTACCAGGACCCAAGCCGTTTAGGGCTTTATAGGTCATCACCAACACCTTGAATTGGGCCCGGACTTCAATGGGAAGCCAGTGAAGCTGATGGAGGACTGGAGTCATGTGAACATAACGTCCAGTCCCCGTCAGCAGCCTGGCAGCTCTATTTTGAACCAATTGAAGTATCCGGACCGTCTTCAAGGGTAGCCCCATGTAGAGCACGTTACAGAAGTCAAGGCGGGAAGTCACCAGCATGTGTGTCACTGTCGCCAGGCAGCCGTACTCCAGGTAGGGGCGCAGCTGATGGATCAGCCGAAGCTGAAGGAAAGCGCTCCTCGCCACTGCTGTCACCTGAGCTTCCAATGAAAGCTCTGGGTCGAGGAGCACTCCCAGGCTGCAAACCTTGTCCCTAAGAGCGAGTGCAACCCCATTCAGGACTAAGTTCAATTCACCCTCTCCGAAGCCCGATCCGCCAACCAACAGGACCTCCGTCTTGTCTGGATTGAGCTTCAGTTTATTGGCCCTCATCCAGCCCATTACCTCGGCCAGGCACCAGTTCAGTGCAGCCACTGCCTCACCTGGATTGGTGGAAAACGAGAGGTAGAGCTGGGTATCATCAGTGTACTGATGCTTCCGCAGCCCACACCTCCTGATGACCTCTCCCAGCGGTTTCATGTAGATGTTAAACAGCAAAGGGGACAAAATGGACCCCTGCGGTACTCCATGGCATAGCTGCCATGGTGCAGAGCCATAGTCTCCCAGCACCACCTTCTGGAATCGTCCATTGAGATAGTGGAACCATTGCAAAGCAGTGCCTCCGATCCCCAATCCCGCTAGCCTATTCGGAAGGATACCATGGTCGATGGTATCGAAAGCCACTGAGAGGTCCAAGAGAACCAAGAGGACACACTCCCCCTGTCCTTCTCCCTGCACAGGTCATCGTACAGGGCGACCAAGGCAGATTCAGTGCCGTACCCGGGTCTGAAGCCGGACTGAAATGGGTCCAGATAATCGGTTTCATCCAAGAGAGCTTGGAGTTGTCCTGCCACCACCCGCTCTAACACCTTGCCCAGAAACGGGATGTTGGCCACTGGTCTATAGTTAGTGGCCATCTCTGGATCCAGTGACACTTTCTTCAGGACCGGTCGGACTACCGCCTCCTTTAAAGGGGCAGGCACCCAACCCTCCCTCAGAGAAGCATTAACCACTTCCAAGATCCAGATCCCAATCCCGTGCTTGGAATTATTTATTAACCAAGACGGGCAAGGGTCCAATAGGCAAGTGGTGGGACATACTCATCCAAGCACCTTGTCCACATCATCAGGCCGCAATAACTGAAATTCATCCATTAATTTTGGACCAGACGGCAGCATTGGTGTCTCCCCAGAAACCTCTGATTCACTAGTGGTGTCCAGCTCGTGACGAATCTGAGCGATTTTCTCCCTGAGATGCATGGCAAAGTCGTCACAGCGGGCCTTTGAGGGTGGAACCAGATCTTTCTTAGGACCTGGACGAACCAGGCCTTGCACCACTCGAAAAAGCTCCGCTGGACGGCATTTTGAGGAGGCAATGGAAACAGAAAAGAAACTCTTTTTCGCTGCCCTCACCGCCACAGCATAGGCCTGATAGTGGGCTCTCAAGTGTGTTCGGTCAGATTCATCCCGTGATCTCCTCCACCTACACTCTAGCCATCTCCCAACCTGCTTCATCGCCCACAATTCAGGTGTATACCAAGGGGAAGAGTGGGCTCTGCCCGGTGGGAGAGGACGCTTAGGAGCGATTGTGTCCACAGCCCTGATCATCTCCCTGTTCCACAGTTCGACCAGAGCCTCGACAGGAGCACCAGACTTGTCAGCCGGAAACTCCCCCAGGGCCTTCAGGAATCCATCTGGATCCGTCCGGCTCCGGGGGCGGACCCACACAATCGGGTCCGCACCCTTGCAGAGGGAGAGGTCGCTCTCAAGCACAAACCTCACCAGGAAGTGATCTGACCATGACAGGGGAGTCAAACATAAATTCCTCACCCTCAGACCATGCTCTTCCTGCCCCGTCGAGAAAACCAGGTCCAGAGTGTGTCCACGT